TTTGGGGTTTAAGGCTTAGGGTTTTGGGATGACAGTTCTGTAATTATAGGGTTTTGCCTATGCTGCTACTAAGGCTTCTATGAGGGGTCTGTAAAACGTAACACGGCTCCACGAACGGTTCTCAGGATTCTATATGGGGCTTCTTAGAAGCGGTGTTTTTAAGTTTGCTTATCGGCTTTTAGAGGTCTGCGCCCATAAATGTTAGAGCCTTGCGGGTATTCCGCAGCATACGCGTGCAGGGACTATTACGTTTAAGGGGGATAGTACTTCTAAGGAGGCGGATCTTTCCTTATATTATAGAGATTCGGAGGGCTTGAGCAGGATTAGGGTGTCTAGGGACTTCGAGACATTGATTGAACCCTAAACCTGAAACCTAAACCCTAAACCCTAAACCCTAAACTCACGCTTTGTTATATGATTTTCCGTACTTGGATGACATCCGAGCCATGAGCACCTCACTGGTCGCGTACACCGTACTCTGGCTATTTTAGTTAAAGGATTCTGGGCACTTTACCCCAATAAATCCTGATGAAAATAGGGCCTTTACTATTAAATACCTATGCTTTTTTATTATAACGATATATATATATATATATAGTATAATATACCCCAAAACCCTATTCTAATTCTTAAGGCCCCTACAATAGACCCCTATATCAAAGTAGCATCCTTACCATGATTCAAAGGGGAGGGGCTTATGTGTCTCAACAGTCTACTTCCTGAATCCTAAACCTCGAAACCCTAAAGCCCGTAAACCCATCAAACTTTTATGGAACCCTGAAAAGAGCCCTGTTTAGAACCCTATTCTCATGACTAAGCCCTTTGATTAAGCCCAAAACCCCAAACCCTTAACCCTAGTCCCTAAACCCCGAATCCTAAACCCTAAAACCTTAAACCTAAACTGTAAACCCCTAAACTAGACCCTCAAGCCTAATCCCTGCGATCTTCGGCTGCTGCAGCAGAAAAAAGGCGCTCAACAAAAAACACCTAAACCCTAAACCCCATACCCTAAACCCCTGAACTAGACCCTAAACCCTAAACTCTTTATAAACAAGCCTACTAAACGCTTAAACCCTTTGTAAGCAAACCTAAACCCCTAAACTAGACCCTAGACCCTAAACCCTAAACCCGAAGACTTCGTCATGGCAGGCCCAAGTCGACGTATGGTCAGTACCTGGACTTGGAGCCCTTCCGGCCGGTTTTGCTAGGGTTTTTGGGGTTTGGGGGTTAGGGGTTTAGGGGTTTATAGGGTTTCAGGGTTTAGGGGTAAAGGGGTATAGGGTTTGGGGTTTGGGGTCTATAGAGTTCCTGGTCAAAACGATAGGGCTTGGTGTGCAGGGGCAGGGGCCTGAACGAGCAAGGACAAGGATTGAGGGTGACGGCTTGGGTGCTTACCAGTCATCCCAGGTTGCCTTTTGCAGCATATTGGGAAGCTAATATCAGTCTCAAAATAGGCCTTACACCGCATGAGGTGCCAAACTTTTGCAGCATACCGCTACTGCGAGCACTTTCCCCATTCGTGGTATGGCCACGATCTTGTCTGAGCGCTTTGTCACCAAAGCACTGGACGCAGGCGGGGCTGGACTGCATATCACGTTGACGGGGATTTCCGAGAAGTGGGTTTCCGTGTTGTGTCAGGGGGTGGTCTTCCGTAAACATGGCATGAGGCTGATTCTGTTCAGGAAAGCTTGTCTAGTGGGCGCCCAGCTCGGATGACGTTAGCATCCCGTACAGTCTTGCATAGATACCAGTTTTTTGTTCGAAGCCTTCCTTCAATTGCTGCTCTGACAATCCCTAGGCCTCAACTTTGAGCCCAACTCCTAAACCGTAGACCCCGAGCCCTGAACCCTTAAACCTAAACCCTGAACCCCTGTGCTCCGGTTTGGCCAGTTCGACCGTGTTGACCATCGCCATGGCCGATGATGACTTGTCGCCCTCTCGACCAGGCAACACGCCAGATTTGCATTCAGGGTGTGCTGTGCAGGGTTTTACTGGGGACACCTCAGCTTTTCTACGGTTTGAAGTCGCCCATCTGTAGGATCTTTTGTAGCTCCTGCTTTTGCTTAGCTTCTGGATCCTATAACATTGCGTAAATCGAAGCAGCAGCTACAGTGCAGACTGTTGGTGGGGAGAGTTTAGGGCTTGATCTCTAAAGGGCAAGTCAGGGCTGAACGCGCCTCAGAAATCAGGTGTTGTCGGCTTGTGTTCATGGCTTTCCACGCCTTGCGACACCTCTTGAAGGAGCGCAAAAACCCTAAATCCTGTGCCCTCAACCCTGAACCCTGAACCAAACAGCGTTTCAGTTTCAAGGGTGACTTCAGGTTGTGACTGCGCCCTAAAGAACCTACGTTCTGAAGTGGTGAGTTAAGGAAATCATAACAAGGAAGCCCTATTTTGCTAGGCTCTTTGGGGTAGAGGTATGGCCTGTGGCACAGGGCTATATAACAAAAACGAACGCCAAGCTTGAGCCTGCCAAGTCTCCCCTCTTGCAGCTCTGCACACACATGAACACACCGTGAAGGGGCTGAACAGACTTCAATAACACTAGATGGTCGCACTGATAATAACAATAAATAAAGATAACAAATAGCAAAAGCCTTTGTAGTTACGACCATAATGATATTCTCTGCCTCTAAACCCCTAACAGCTTAGCCCAAATCCCCACAACCCTAACCCTGAAGGCTAGACACCCAAACCCCTAAACCCTAAAACCTACGTCCCTTAAACCTTAAACTCTAAACCCCTAAACCCCTAAATCCCGAAACCCTAAACCCTAAACTCTAAACCCCTAAACCCCTAAACCCTAAACCCTATAAGATTCTGTTCACACTCCGCCGTTTCACTCCGGAGGTTCCAAGGCACGCTCCTTGAGGACTGCTGCTGGCTGGTGTGGCATCTCTTGAGTTTAGGGGTTTAGGGATTAGGATGTAGGGGTTTAGGGTTTTAGGGTTTTAGGGGTTTAGGGATATAGGGTTTTAGGGGTTTTAGGGGTTTAGGGTTTTAGGTTTAGGGTCTAGCTGATTTTCGTAGGTTCAGCACTTGAGTATGGCTTCCTCGGATTTGGGGCCTTGGGTTTGGCTTTGTGGCTGAGGGGAAGGAGGCGGAGTTCGTATTCTTCAGTCAGCTCTGCTCCCCTTCAAAAGGTAGATGTCTGAAGCAAGAATGCCCTACTCGACCTCCAGGGACTTTTTGGTAAGGCAGCATGCATTAGCAGATGGCTAGTGCTCTAAACTAGGGTCCCTTTTCAGGTATTCAAACATAGTACGGCTCCCTCAAGAAGAGGACCCTCACCTGTTGACCCCAGACCCTAAACCCTAAACCCTAAACTCTAAACCCCTAAACCCCTAAACCCATAAACCCGAAACCCTAAACCCTAAACCCCTAAACCCCTAAACCCCTAAACCCTTGTACCCTAAACCCGACACCCTCCAACCTTGTGGCCTGAGGTTTGGAAAATGTTCCATTCAGAGGCTCTGGGGTTGGATCGTTGCTTTTTGCGATATTTTCATTACTAATGGTTTAGGGTTTAGGGTTTAGGGTTTAGGGTTTAGATCGTTGCTTTTTTTGATATGTTCATTACTAACGGTTTAGGGTTTAGGGTTTAATTCCTTTGGTCAATGGAACATGTATCTCTCTTAGACAAATTAGCTTGCCTGCCATCTGCAATCGCAGGAAAGTAGACAACCCCTTCCGTGTTATCGGGACTACAGCGGCGATCCTAATATCAAGGCTTCTGATCCGGGTCTACACTCCTCATCAGAGGTGCTTTTAGAAAGTACGATAAGAGAGAATCAAGCCCCAAACTCCCTTGAACCGGAAACCCTAAACGAAATATCCCGGGAGGACAACGACAGATCTGAGCGACAGTGGCGAGAAGCCCGAGAAGTGGGATGTGGCGAAGTCCTTAGAACCCCATGCATTCGGGCTTCGGCTTACATCAGGCCTTTTCTCCCGAAACAGGTGGACCTCATAGGGGTTTCTAGCGGATTGAAGGTTTGGTGGTTGGGCCATCGGACTTAGCCTATACCTTAAACCCTAAACCCTAAACCCTAAACCCTAAACCCTAAACCCTAAACCCTAAACCCCCAAACCCTGAACCCTAAGGTTTTTGGGTGTAGGGGCTCAGCGGGGGATTGGTGCATGAAGCAGCAAAGTTCCGATGTGAGCACGTCGGGCGTTCGGCTCAGGAGGGTGTCAAGCGTAAGGTTGCCCTTGTACAGGGGCCAAACATAGGGGCCAAAAAGAATTACCAAGATTATTCTTTAGGGCTCCTTATTATAAGTATAGTCTACTACACCCCCCCCTCCCCCAAACCCTGTTCGAATTACTGAGGCCCCGATAGTAAACAATTACCACAGCTATCTTTTAGGGCTCCGGAGCATGATTATGCTGGTCATTTGCTATCAACTGGGTATCGTCCGACTAAGCGTTAGAGTATTGTGGGTACAGTACCCCTAAACTCTAAACTACAAAACCTCAAGTCGTTTGAGCCTAGGCATTTAAGCCCCAGACCCCTAAACCGTACTCCCGAAACCGTAAACCCTAAACCCCATGACTATACCGTACCCATAGACTCACTTGTAGTTCCTTTTTGGGGTTACCTTACAGGATCCCAAATATGAACCACAAAAGGAACTACCATGGAGCCTATGGGTAAACAGTGAACACCAACCGCGGCTCTGTCAACGGCATCTCCCTCTCCCCGCGAAATCACCTCAAGGCCTCACCGACGCGAAACTCCAACTACATCCGCAACTGCTCCAAGATCCAGGCCTTTTGGGACGGTTCAGGTTTAGGGTTTAGAGTTTAGGGTTTAGGCTTTAGGGTTTAGGGTTTTGGGGTTTTGGGGTTTGGGGTTTTGGGGTTTAGGGCTTTTGGGGGCCTAGGGGCTTCGGGTTGAAAGGTTTGCCTCAAGCTGTCCGGCTATTCTTGCAGAGTCGCTGTGGGGGTTTCCGAAAATTAGGGTGCCTTATTTTGGGGTCCTTATAATAAGGATCCTACTATTTAAGGTGCTATATTGGGGTCCCCTATTTTCGGAAACCCCCGCGTCAAAGTTTAGCAGAAGCCTGCAAGACGGAACAATGCAGGTGAGAGTCGGTGACAGTAGCTTTCCAGAGGTCGTCTTGGATCCTAAACCCCTAACCTAACCCCCGAACCCAAACCCTAAACCCTGAACTTTGAGATTAGGCTGAGGATTTTCGGGCTACGGTTTCAGATACGATCAGCCGTACTTCAACAATAGCTTCCAGGCCGCCTTTAGTTAAGCTTGGACCTCAAGCTGTGACGCCCAGCCGTTTCTTAAACAGTTTAGGGTTAGTTTGGGGTTTTGGGGTTTAGGGTTCAACCGACACTCATTTATGAATCCTTACACCCGAAACCTCAACCGCAGGTCCTGGACCGGGTGCTTCGGGAGGACGAGAAGCTAAGCCCCGCGCCTGGCATCCGAAAGCATCGCCGTTCCGCAAGATCCGCCCTGGTAGGTGTCGTATAGGATTTAGGGTTTTGGGGTTTTTAGGGTTTAGGATTTAGGATATAGTTTTTAGTGTCTTAGGGTTCAGGGTTTTGGGTGTAACCCGGTTGATAAGGAGTACAGTTGTTTGGGCTGACCACTTCGCACTCTATTGTAGTGGCAGTAGTGGCAGTGTCAGCAACACTGACGGCTATTAGTTGACCTCGTCCTAGCTGTGGTTGGCGTTGTAACTGGTACTGTAGTACTGTAGTATATAGCAGCAGCAGCAGCAATTGTTGTTGTCGTGCTGGTGGTCGTCGTCTTCGTCGTAGAGTCGTAGGTGTAATAGTAGCCCTCACCAGCATCACTAGCATTCATAGAAGTATACGCAGTCTAAGTCTAGGTTGCATGGCTGCTCATCAGTCTGCATGTATACTGCTTTTGCAACTCCAGTGGGACGAACCCTTGCGGTTTCTCTTTTCCCTCCCGTTTGTGCACAGACGCGGACGTGGGCATGAAGAACAAAGAGGAGCTAGTGCCCGGGCCTGAGCTAACACCTCCCAACCCCAGCCAAACGCCCATGTCCGACCGAGATTTTGGGCTTGAGTTTAGGCTTTAGGGTTTAGAGTTTAGGGCTTCCTGTTTGGGGTTTAGAGTTTAGGGCTTCCTGTGTAGGGTTTAATTAGTGCCAACGAGTTTCCGGGTGGGGGCTTCCGACAATCTTTGCGAACATCCCCAGAAACGTTGCTACGTATTTGTATGTAAATCGGCGGCGATCCACGATTAATTCACTTGAGAAGGTGAGATTGCGGAGGCTCGGAACACCTGAAGTCCCCGGGATCTGAAATGTCAAGACTGTATAGAGCCTAAGCCTGTCACAACCCTACATATCCCTAAATGAACCCTAGCGTTTTGAGGATATCTGACTGTCGGAGGCTCTGTCGCCGCCCCAAGCCCTCAGCACCGCAAAGGTACCAAAGCCGCCGCCCTCTTCGTCTGCTCAAGCTCTGAATCTGCTTGTATAATAGGGTTTAGGGTTTAGGGTTTAGGGGTTTAGGGTATAGGGGCCTGAATGATTGGAATAGGGCTTTGGGGCCCATTAAACCAAGACTTGTAGTAAGGAACCCCGAAAAGTCTTGGTGAGCCTTTAGGCCCCTATGGTAGATTCTTAGAGTCCTCCGATCACCTGAGGTTTAGGTGGAGGGTTTAGAGGGATCTATGGGTTGAGGGGATCAGGTCCATTGGTATAGGGGCCATTATGTTCCTTTCAATTTTTTGGGGGGTTCCTTATTTCATATTAAGATTATAGTATCATATACCCCAAAACCCTATTCAAATTATTAAGGCCCCTACATTATCGGGGCTAGGGGCCTAGGGGTCTGGGTCTAAGCGTTTAGGGCAGTTTAGAGTCTACACGGGCATCAGCCCCCCACCCTCCAAGCCACGAAGCTTCGAAGATCCCGAAGCCCCACAAGGAACCAGCTCGGCTTGAAGTACGGATCTCTCCGCAAAGCTTGGCAGGAGGTTGGGACTCCGGGATGCCTTGGAATTTCGGGCTGTACTCATTCGGCGCAGTGGACTGTGGTCCGGTTGTGCGAGGTGCTCCATGTATAGGTTTGTAAGGCACGGCGTAGTCGTAGTACAAGTTGGCCGTTTTTCCTGTCTCAAAAGAGTTCAGGATGTGGGACATTATAATGTGGAGCCCAGGATGCAATCGGGAATTCCTTTCGTCCGTTGTGCGGATTTGAGAGACTAACCTCTGATCGTGCGCGGCGCAAGGTTCACGACTTTGTGGTTCAAGTTGTTGCAGGTTGTCGGGCTAAGCGTCCCTTACCGAAAGCCGGAAAGCCACAATTTCTGACACCCTGAATCCTGGACGCCCTATAGGTTATTGTTTAGGGTTAAGGGGTTTAGGGTTTAGGGGTTTAGGAGGTTTAGGGCATAGAAGCCCCAACCCCCCAGTACCCTAAGCCCTACAACCGGTATGTGCTTTCCTTGCCAAGGGAGACTTTGTTCCAGCTTTGACAGCAGTCCTCGTGGACCGTAGCGCCTCAGGGTTTGGGCTTGAGGCTTCGGACTTAGCGGGTGCAGGCCTAGGCTTTGGGTTTGGGGCTTGCAGCGCTTATAGGGTCAAAAGGGGCTAGAGATTGGCAAAAAGGGCTGAAAGTGTTTGGGGCTGGCGAGGTTGGTGTGGACATAGTTGTAGATAACTTCCAGCCTGTAGAAAGCCTGCTGTCAGCGACAGGCCCATAATTAGCCCACAAGCCATCGGTTTATGAAGTTCAAAGTCGATAAAATGTCGAGCCTTCCCTGCAATAGGCGAGCGCCCGCACTGTAAATGCCAGAACCCGGTTGGTCTGTCGATCTACAGGCATATTCCCGCGCACTTTGTGGTTGTATTGCAATTATGATGTATTCCGAATCCATCTAAAGCCCCAAACTCCTAACTCACCCTAAACCCGCTGTCAGAGGGCCAGAAACCCTAAACCATCCCGAAACCCCCAGACCCCAGTCCACTGAAACCTCCGCTGCTAGAGGTCTTCGATCCCTACGACACAGGGAAGATCGGCTTTCAGGCGCCCTTGTGTCCTTAGTAGTCGAGTATCATACTCTACTATTAGGGTTTAGGGTTTAGGGTGTATAGGGTTTAGTATACGTAACATTAAACTTGTTCGGGGCACTGTAATTGTTCATACAATCGAAGGGTTAACTCTTGACAAGTAATTCCAAGTAAGTGTCATTGCCGTGAGGCGTTTGGCAGCTGTCTCGGATTTAGGGAGGCCGCGATATTTGTACATTGGAGCGGTCTGAATGCAGGGTGTCTGTGCATTCCTAAACTTTAAGCCCTAAACCCTAAAAATCCCGAAGCCCCTAAACCCTATAAACCCTAAACCCTAAACCGAAGCCCCTATAAACCTAGTTGTTGCTGGTGCCAGCATCCCTCAAGCTAAGGATTCCGTCCCGCTTCGAGCCGTGGTGTTTTGGTAAGAGCCAGTGGCGCTTTACCTGTGACGGAGCTTCAACTTTGCAAGCTAGCAATTCTTCTGCTTAAAATCCAACTCCCGGAACCTATAGACCCTAACTCTATTGACCTATTACCCTGAACCCAAGACCCCACTCGCTGAACACCCTACCACCGCTATTAAAGCCTAAGCAGTCGTCAGTGAAGGAAGAGTCCGACGGTACGAAACAGAAGCCTCTGTTTTCGGAGGTAGTGTTAGGGAGACCCCTTGAAGGGGATCCTTCTCAAGCGTACTTATGGCTCTCTAAAGAGGGGCCTTATTGAGAGGGTCCATATCCTCAAGGGTCCCCCGAATCCAAACTCCTACGGTTGAGGTCCGTGCAGAGTGGCGAAGCCCCTAAACTAAACCATCCTAATACCAAGCCGAACCACTCGAAATCCAAATACAGGGTTTAGGGGTTTAGGGTTTAGCGTTCAGGGTTTAGGGCATCTCCAACCTAAACTTTTAACCCTAATTCCTACACCGCAGATCCCCAAATACCACAGAAGATCTCAAACCTCCAAGGGTTTAGGGTTTAGGGTTTCCGCAAAGACCTTGCCAGGAGTTCTGCGACCGAATGCGGGCCATTGGATTCCTTGGGGATATGAAGGAGTGAGATGTTGCACCAAATTTGTTTCCAATCTTATCCGAAAGCCAAGCGAGGAGCTTATGGGCGTGAGAGTCTTTATACAACAACTATTGGCCTCATTGAGGTTTATGGTTGTCAAGGCCCCGTGGCTATCCCGTAGACCACGGAGCTAGAGAAGTAGAATCTGGGGGGGTCTGTTTTGCAGGGTAGGTCTGTTGTGCAGATTAGGCTTGGCTGTTCCCAAAGGGTCCAAAGGACCCAATAATAAGATTCTTTGGTTGCGGATAGTAGTTATCTAGCTTGACATTGGGGAGAGTATATGATAATTAGGTACTTGGACCCTTAGGGTTTTGGTTTGGGAGTCCAAATATTGAGACGCCGCGTGCAAATGCTTGATGACTGAGGGTCTACATGTTGCGATTCCGGTTTAGGATTTAGGGTTTAGGGTTTAGGGTTTAGGGTTTAGGGCTTAGGTTTTGGCTTGCGTTTCCAGGTTTTTCGTTTCCTCCCGTCCTCTTTGAGAGTGGACCCTCAATGGGACCATCAATGTACCGCAAAATGGGCCTAAGGGGAGGTAATATTGGGGCCAATACTCTTTTGGGAGCTCCTTTCTAAACTATGTAGTATAGCGGGACCCAAACCCCATTCTAATTACTAAGGCCCCTATATTAAGGGCAGCAGCTTTTCTTCTTGGTGCTACACTTCGCTGATGGCGGGCGGACAAAACCTTGAAACCTTCAACTTGATTAATGTGGGAGCCGTAATAGTTAGAATAGGGTTTTGGGGGTTCCTTGTTATAACTATATAGTTGAATATACCCCCACACCCATTCTACATATCAAGACCCCTATATTAACTGCAATGCTGTATACCGAAATGGCCCTAAACCAAAGCCCTAAACCCCACAAAGACCTTCTCACAAATACTGCGTACTCGGAAAGATACAAGTCGTCGTAAGCCCTGGCACCTGATTATCCGGTGCTTTGAACCTCTAGGGTTCAGGGTTTAAGGCCGAAAACCCGCAGCCCTAAACCCGACAACCCCAAACCGTAAATCCCGAAACCCTAAACCACCCAAACCCCCAAACCCAACAGGTTTAGGGTTTATAGGCCCCAAAACCCTAAACCCAAAACCCTAAACCCGAAACCCTAAACCCGAAACCCTAAACCCGAAACCCTAAACCCGAAACCCGAAACCCTAAACCCTAAACCGAAGTGTATAGGGTTCAAACTAAACCCTGTTGCGATGCAGGTCGAAGCTTCCAAGTTCACTTCCCCCTTCAGGTATACTTGAGCTAGAAGAAACCCTATATAAGCCCTCCTGCTCCCGGCCTCCCAAGCTTTCAGAGACCCTAAACCCTAAAAAAGGGGCCTTAGCAATTTTAAATAGGGTTTTGGTGCCGGTTCCTTACTCTAGTTCGAGTATACTATACCCCAAAACCCTATTCTAATTATTACCCATAGGCCCTAAAGTAGTTCCTTTTTGGGGTTCATGTTAGAATCCAATTAGGGAATCCCCAAAAGGAACTACTTCAGGGCCTATGGGTAAGGCCCCTACATTCACTAAGCCCTAAACCCGAAACCCTAAACCCTGAACCTTAAACCCTGAACCCTGAACCCTAAACCCTAAACCCGAAACCCCAAACCCTAAACCCTAAACCCTGAACCCTAATCCCTTAACCGGAGGATTGCTGGCGTGCTTTGGGCGCCGAGCGGGACGGCGTGCTGCGCCTGCGCCATCTCGACAGGAAGACTGACGAGCTGCACCTGGGCCACAGTTGAGGGGTTCCGTTCAAGTTGTTTAGGGTTTCGGGCTTAGGGTTTAGGGTTTAGGGTTATGGGTTTAGGGTTTAGGGGTTCAGGGGTTTGGGGTTTAGGGGTGTAGGGGTTTAGGTTTTAGGGGTTAGGGTTGAGGATTTAGGGGTTTAAGGCTTAGGGCTGAGGGTTTAGGGTAACTATAGGGTTTCTGTTGAGGGCTACTATCGGGTTCTAGAGTAGAAACCCTCTAAGAGGTTCCCTGGTCAAGGAGGGTTTAGGGCTTTGGGATTTTCAGGGGTTCAGCAGGATTTAGAGCTTTAGGGTTTCTAGGGCTTCCTCTAATGTGTTCGCTGGTATCCTTTGAGACTTGTTTAGGGTTTTGGGATGTAATCAGGGTTCAGGGTTGAGGATTTAAAGTTTTACGGATTTTGGGGGTTTTTGCCCTGTTTCTTTTTGGGTTTCCTGATTGAAATCCAGTAGAAGGAACCAGGGTACCTTTATTACTAAGGCTACTAAGGGGCTACTGAGGCACCTGTGGGTTTAGGCTTCCTTACTGTGATGTCCTTATATCGATTCCGTGAAAACGTAGGTTATTTGGGGTAAAGGTAGGGGTTAAGGGTGTTCCTGAAGAGCTATGTTTCATTGTAGGGTACTAAACGCTGGAGCCTGGTATCTTGGGATGATGGGAATTATATGGGTCGTCTTGAAGGTAGGAAGGGTTCCTTTAAAGGGACCTCTCAGGGAATTAGGGGCGTATATCTGAAATTTTTTGGGTAGTTCTCTAAATTAGGGTCCCCTAGTAGCCCCCCCCCAAAAAAATTACGGCACCCTTTTCAAGTACCCCAGCAGGAACTCTAATTTAGAGAACTACCCATATGTGGGCCTTTTAAGGCATAAGTCCAAGTCTACCAGGGTGGAGGATCGAGCCCATATTTACTCGACACTCTACTGCATTAACGTATATTGTGTGAAAGTAGATTTCCACTAACTAGTATTGTATTACACTAGATGCTTTAAGCTTCAGGTTGCACGCAAGTTTGCGGGAGGAGCTTCTCTGCACGAAACCCAAAGAGAAACCACACGAACGTCATTAATTCGGACCCCAGCCCATGATTTGTTGAAGCAACCTCAGGCCCCGAAAGCAAATTTCTTGAGCGGAAATGTTGGCAGGATGGATTGCATCTGGCATCTACTTTTCGCATCCTTAGCCCTAACCCTAACAGCCTATACTATAGAGCCAGCACAAGCTTGCTGAAATGAATGCGGATCTGTCTCACTGTAGATCTGAAAGCGTCTGCTCTAGTTCGGCACTCCTCAAGGATGCTGGGTCTGATTGTAGCACTGCGAAGCGTGGCCCAGTCAATCTGTCAATGTAGTCTAAGCGCAAATCAAATGCTCCACAAGCCAGCCGAAATCCAGAACACAACAATACAACAGCCCGCTCAACCAATCTGAAATCGTTATATAGAGGCCTGAATGGTAGCCTATACCGTTTTAGTTCCTTGTTAAGAGTACGTATTTTAAACTATACTCCAAAGCCCTATTCTAATCATAAGGGCCCCTAAACTACCATTCATAACGGGGCCGTTTATAATTAGAAATGGTTTTTGCGGCCCATTCTACTACAATTATCAGAAGGACCCCCTCCCCCCCCCCACAAAAAGATATAGTATTGGTTAATACATTACGCCCTTCCTTCGCTGAGCTCCCGCGCCCCATTCCTAGGATGCTCGGCTTCAAGCTCACCTTGGCGGATAAGTGCCTCCGACGAGTACAAAGTCGGTTTTCAGAATGATTGGGGTTTAGGGTTTAGGGCTTAGGGTTTAGGGGTTGTCGTAGTCTCCCCTCATATAGTCTCTATTTAGACTAGTAGAAGTAGGGTTTAGGGGTTACCGTAGTCTCCCTCATCTAGTCTCTTTTAGACCAGCGGAAGTATAAGTCTACTGTACCTCAAAGCCCTGTTCTAATGATTCGTATCAGGGGTATGGTCTAGAAAGACAGGTTTTAGGGTTCAGACCACGGGCCTTCTTGACTCCTGGAGTGGAGGATGAGGGCTGCATGTGGGATTCGGGCCTCAGCGGTCTTGCGCGTCGCTCATGAAGATGTGGGCTTCCTGGCTTCAGGTGTGGCAAAACCCTAAGGCCCTAAGGGTAAGGGTTTAGGGCTTAATTAAGCCCTACACCCTCAGCAATTGAGGGAGTATTGTTGTGTTTTTCTGGCTAGAGGGAAGCCGGGTTGAGGAAATCTTGGGGCCAGAACGGGGCCATGCGTAGACGGCAGCACAGGCAGAGGTCCACCTTGGATTGCAGTGAGAAGAGTGTTACATATGGAGCAATATGGCACAACAGACCGTTGCGCGATAAAAGTTGGACTTAAGATAGAAGCCTGATTAGTTACCTGTAGAAATCTTGGGGCTTCCTATTGCAACTGTATTATGGCATATCCCAAAAACCCTGTTCTAATGATGAACGATCACGGCCCCCACATTACGTGTAGAACAGTCCAACATGGTCCTGGAGTCCTGGGTTAGAACCCTGAACTCCAAACGCTAAGCCTAAAACCTAAGCCTATAAAGCCCTTATTTTCACGGGAACCCCCTTAGAGAAATCCTTAGCGTAACCCCAAAACCTAAACCCGAAACCTGCAGCACCCAGCCTGCGCGCAGGTACGGGAACATGCTGAATGCCTGGCCAGCGCCCAAGCGAATTCCACCGGCCAAGCGTTGGATTCGTGGTTGTTCGGTATGGACTGTCACCCACCGCCTAAACCCGACACTAAGGAAGCTTTGAGCGAAGCCCAAACCCAAAAATCCCTCAACAAAAAACCCAGCCATTGAGTCGGCAAGTCTAGATTCTAAGCCCTAAACTTAGGCCCGAAATCCTCAAAAGTTTATGGGTTTGGGGTGTGGGGGTTTGGGGTTACGGATTTAGGATTTAGGGGGTAGGGGTTAGGGTTACCCTGACTTATAAGCCTTAAACCCCAAATCCAGACCCTACGGCCCTGAACCGACTTCCAGTGGGTGGGTTTGGTGTAAGCGATTCCGGGGGCGGTTGCTCCAGGATAAGGTGTCCCCTCAAGCTATCTCAGCGCAGAGGGGTGTGGGTGGGGTTTAGGACGTTGGGTTGAGGTTGCGGGTCTAGGCTTCGTTTGAGCATGAGGCATGAGGCCTTCTCTACGACGCTAGTCTATGCTCTTTCATGGTAGGCTTTGTGGATCGCAGGCTGTCAGAAGCTTATTTATGCAGGGCTTATTGACTTATTGACTAAGTCCGGCTGTTGTACCGCTTCTCGGTTGTGGAGTTTAGCTCGACCCAGTATTCGGTGTGGGGTGTATTTAGATCCCTTCTCTGCCCTAAACCGTGCTGCTTTGGTTTGCATGACTCGTAGATGCTTCCTCCTCTTCCTCCTCCTCCTCCTCCTCCTACTGTCGCTACGGGCTTTGCTACTGCAACTGCTGTTGCTACTATTGCTACTGTTGCTATTGCTACTACTGCCACCATCACCGCCACCAACACGAATACCACCACTGCAAACTCTGCCGCCACCACCACAGACGGCGACTACTGCTTCGGCGTCTAGTAGTACCACTGCCACAACTACGAAGAATGTGTTGCTACGAGTACTACCACTACCACTACCACCGCCACTACTACCAGCACTTCCACCCTGAACCTGAAACCCTGACGCTTAAACCCTAATCCCTAAACCCTGAACCCTGAGCCCTAACCCTTAAAGCCTCAACCCCTCAACCCTAAAGCCCTAAAGCCCTAAGCCCTAATACCCGGAACCCTGACCCTTGAACCCTTAAGCCCTAAACCCTAACACCCAACCCCTAAACCCTAAACCCTATACCCTAAGCCCTAAACCCTAAACCCTAAACCCTAAACCCTAAACCCTAAACCCTAAACCCTAAACCCTAAACCCTCAACCCAACCCTGTGCCTTCGGAAGGAAAGCCTTCGACCCAAAAGGTTTGACTCTGGTGGACGAGGCTGGAAACCGAATCTGGCGACTCGTAAGTTTCACGGTTTAGGGGTTCGGGTTTAGGGGGTTAGGGTGTAGGGCTTAGGGTTTAGGGGTTAGGGTTTAGGGGTTTAGGGTTCAGGGTTTAGGGAAGTTCAGGGTTTAGTCTAGGAGTTTAGGGTTCAGTCCCTACTACAGCCACAGTACAATCTACCCCACAACCATATTGAAGCGCTTCAAGGCCCCAATTCTAGGAAACCGGAACATAGGACTGCTGCAGGCTCTGTTTCTGAGACTTAGCCGGCGCTGACGGTCTAAAACAGCGTCTTCTATTCAAAGCTTGAACCTCCTACCCCTAAGCCCTAAACGCAAAAAGCCCTTAACCATAAACACTAAGATTCTACAGGCCTAGACCCCTTTTTACCAGCGTGTGCCTTGAAACGACAGGCGACCTTTGTGAAGCAGCCCGGTCCTGAGTGAGCTCGGGAATTCACGTTTCTGGGTAGAGGGTGATGATAGCATTGCTTTCGAGCTCCTAGGTTTATGTCGTGCTGGAGTTTTGAAGTCCTTTCAACACAGCTACCATGTCCGTTCGATTGAATACCGTCGGTGAATGGTCGTGTATCTTTCTAGCTGTACGACATCGCCGTGCCTAGCCTTAACAAGATCTGTGGTGGCTGCATTCATGTCTGGGGTGGTCGTTCCTGTGCTGCTGGCCTTGTGTGTCATTTGGGTATTTCTGCTCTTGCCCTTGATTGGGGTATTGTTGAACGGCCCAGAGTTGAGGGACCTGCAAGGTAACCGAAGGCCGGAGGGCTAGTATGGGAGCCTATGTTATGGTATAATATACCCCAAAACCGTATTCTAATTATTAAGCCCCCTATAGTAGAGTCATGATGTGCCTGTGCCTTGAAACCCCACGATGTCAAAGTTTGAGCCTTTTTAATCTTGTCGTCGCTCTTTGAGCCGCTGTAATCCATCCCCAACCCGGCTTCCGACTCTTCCAAGGAGGTTAGGGCTTCACCCTAAGCTTGAGGCCCTGTGCATCCAAATCCTCACTCCCAACCATATCTTGGCACTGTGAGGGACTCTCTTAGGTCATGCGTCGCGGCGATATAATACTAAATTCTACATTTCTAGACTTGATCGAAACCACACACACACACACACACACACACACACACTGACTGCGACTGATCTATCACCGCCCCAGGTGCCAAGCAGATGGCGTTGAGGGAGACCTTGTGCCGATCTCAGGGATACTTCAAGAAAGTCTCGGGGCTCTAGGGTTTCAGGGTTTAGGTCATTGCATTTCGGGCTTCAGGTTTCCGAGGTTGGAGCTTTAGTGTTTAAGTTTGGTTGTAGGTACCACGGTTGTAGACTTTGGGGGTATTAGGTCTATGGGTCCCCCTATCAAGGCTTCAAGAGCAGACGAGCAGAGCCAGCAGAGTTCAAGAACTTTCAGCACCGGAACATCCCTGAAGCCCACTGAACCCCTAAATCAATGCCTAGCTGCCAGTGCTGCTGCTACAAGCACTCCCACCCGAAGCCTTGCTAATATAGTCTATATCTATCTTTTATCTATTTTGATCTATCTATGTATTTACCTATCCGTCTATCTATCTTTCAGTCTATTCATGTATCTATCTATGTATTTATTCAGGCAAAAATTAAATAATATATACCAGTGTTGTAGAATATGTTGTGGTGCCTTTTTATCTGCTTTGTTATACCATATGAGATTAAACTATTCAATATGGTAGGCATTGTATTTTGTTTTGTTCTATTCCAATTTGCTACATAATATTTCTGTTCACATAAACAGTATGTAGATTATTATGTAACATAGTACTCTACTCGCTGATATTATGTTCTACCAGATCCTCTCCATTTTCTATCAGTGCACTCTAAAATATAATATATGTTCTACATAGTATATTCCAGCAAATCATGTTATGTTATATTATTTTCTAGTCAAGTCTTTTCTATTCTATGCCGTTCTATCATGCTATGTCATGTTATATTATTGCAGTTTTGAAATGACCGGGTCATGTCATGGTATGTGCTGCTACACTTTAGTGTAACTGTACTACGCGATACTGTACTATACTAACTATCCGGTACTATAGTTGTAATTATACTATACTAACTTTGCTATACTATGTTGTACTATATTATACTACATGACGATATTACACTGTACTATACACTGCCACAATAACTTGTATTACGTTATATTGCTTTATGCTAGTTTATGTTGCATTACATGACAACATCGTATATGACTTCTTGCATTATAGCTAGCACATTATACTAAACCATGTTATATCACTTCAACGATGGTATATCATATTCTAGTATATTTTATTATCGCATAGGCAAGTAAAGTACAGCATATTATGGTATATCTAGTGCAGTATAGTATAGTACAGTATCTTATCTGGTCTTACTCTTGTTATGCTGTATCAGATTATACATGTTATTATAGTATACTTAAACAGCGTGCACATGCTTGAGACCCAAGCTTTGACTCTGTTTCAGGTGCAGCTCTTCCATGAGCTCATGGCGCCTTGGCATACCGGTTTTGGGCTTCGGGTTTAGGGTTCAGGGTTTAGGGTTTTGGGGTTGTGGGGTTGGGGCCAAAGGTTTGGGGTAGATCAGTCGCCTGCTCAAATGCGTGGCACACCCTGAACTCCTAGACCCTAAACCGTATTCTTTTGTAAGCTTTGTCATAATACAAGGGGGCGCTGTGATAATCTTGGCCTTGCACTGCGGCCGAGTCGACGTCTTCGTCTGTCATCATCTTTACTGGGACTAGGAGCATGAGCCTTGTTGATACTTCCAAGCTTGGCCCGCGGTTAAAGTCTAAACCCTAAACCCGCTTCTCTGGACTGCTGCAGCTTCCCCCGAATGATGACATTTTCCCGCTTGTCCTCGACACTTCCACCATCATTGCCATCATCATTTGCACTACCATCACAGCCAGCAGCATCGTCGTCAGCGTCACTACCGTCATGATAAACATCATCATCATGATGATCATCACCATTGTCGTCATCATCATCATCATCATCATCACAATCTTCTTCCTCATCAGCATCAGCATCAGGGTCGTCGTCACCCTAACCCTCGCCATCATTGTCGTCGTCACCATCAGCATCGCCATCATGATGGCCTTGCAAATGTGTTCGAAGATTGCCAAGGACGATCCCCTGCGCAAGAGGGAGTTTCACAAGATGTCTTTGCGGGAGCCGGGTGCCTGGAGTTTGCACGCTGTTCGCAGTGCCAGTGGGCTGTTGGTTCAGATTTTTGCTGTCTCGTGAATCCGAACTTCATGTCTACGCAGCCCGAAGCAGACTTCAAACATAACCGACCCTATGCCACAGTCGGTGTGGTGCAGGGCTTGTGCATGACTCTTCTGATGTTTGTGTCATTGGTGTCCGAAAGCCCGTTGCTTCCGGGTTCATGATTGAGGACTTCAGCGTTCAGCCGTAAGTGCATTGACGACCAGCAGCCCCCACCACTTGTATATGGGTATATACAGCTATATACAGCAGCTTGTTGGGCTACAAGTAAGTCCTAAACCCCGAAGTGCTAAGCTTGTCCGCGGCCCAGTAGGAGAGCCTTCCATCCTCCACCCAGGTTCGATCTCGGGGCATACCAGGCCATCACGCGGAACGATCAGGACATGATCGTGGAGGCAAGAGCTCGGTTGCCCTCTGTCAGAAGGAGGAGCAAGGCCCCAAGCATCTTAGTCGCTCTGATGACGGTTATACTTTAGCTTAGTTCCCCAATACCCAACCTTTAAACTTTTTGCGTTCTTATAATTTAGTAGTGATCTGAAAGTTTAACCTCTTATTTCCCTGGCTTATTGGGGAAGTAACCCTAACCACCCAGGTACCTACTATATAGGGCACTAGAGCCCCCAGGGCCCTATCTAGTAGGTACCTGGGGGTTAGGGTTTTTGGGGTGAGGGACGAAAGCTTGTTGTGCGAAGCCCTTGCAGGCCAGTCTTCAGCTGCTGTTTAGGGTTTAGGGTTTGGGGTTTAGAACCCTAAACCCTAAACCTGCAAGAGGCGTGTTTAGGGTTTAGGGTTTAGGGTTTAGAACCCTAAACCCTAGAAATGCAAGAGGCGTAAACCTCCATCCCACAACAGTCCCCAAAGAGGAGCAGTGGGCACCCACCCGAATGCCCGGTAGGGGCCAGAATCCCAAGTTCCTTAGCCCTGAGACCCTAAACCCCTCAAGCCATGACTACTACAGCCCATACATGAGCTATGAATCAACTTTACCTGCTAAGCGGTTTTTGTCAAGCCTAGTGGTTCTAAGCACGATCCTTGGCCTCAACGGTTTAGGGCTTACCTGCAGCCCAAAGCGTGAATTAGTGGGATACCTTCCTATACTCCTTCGAAAGCTAACCCCCCAAACCTGAAGCCCATATTTATTTGAAAGGCACTCGTAAACTTCGTACACCCTCAACAGAATATTCGTTCGCAAGCTTAAGGTAACTGTAAGCCTATTCATCCCTGAACCCTATACATGTTTATGTATATATATATATAGTATAATTACACTAAAGAGAGAGAGAGAGAGAGAGAGAGAGCGAGAGAGAGAGAGAGAGATATATATATATATATATATTTACTTATGTAGTTATTTATTTATTTATTCATTTAGTTAGTTAGTTAGTTAGTTAGTTAGTTAGTTAGTTCTTTTGTTGTTTCTTTGATATTTGTTTGGTAAAATGAAAGGTATATTGCTTTTCGGGCCCATGGTCTGAGTCTCAGGTTCAGAGTGTAGGCTCGACGAAGCATAATTAAGTTTAGGGTTTAGGGTTTAGGGTTTAGGGTCAGGCTTGGCTGAGGGTTTGTGGAGTTTAGGCTTTTGGAGTTTAGAGTTTAGGGTTTATGCCTTCGGAGTTTAAGGTTAGGCTTTTGGAGTTTAGGGTTTACGGTGTAGGCCTTTGGAGTTTAGGGTTTAGGGTTCAGGCTTTTGGAGTTTAGGGTTTAGGGCTCAGGCTTTTGGAGTCACCGATTTCCCAAACCACGGAGGTATGAGCCAAGGGTTTGGCTTCCTGCGCCATCTCCCGTAGAAGGAGACTGTCCGCGTTCGCACTACCCCTCAACCCCAAACCCCTAAAGCCCTAAACCCCTAAACCCTAAACCCTAAATCCCTAATCCCTAAACCCCTAAACCCCTAAACACCAAATCCCTAATCCCTAAACCCCTAAACCCCTAAACCCTAAATCCCTAATCCCTAAACCCCTGCAGGTTTTGGGTTCTGCAGCTCGGTGTTTCTGGTCCGGAGCTGCTTTTCCTGATTGCTCTAAACTCCTAAACCCTAAACTCTACTAAACTCCTAAACCCTAAAAACCTGTTGCGTTAGCACGATGCCTAGCATCCTGTCGTTTGAAGAGTTTCCGGAGCCATCGTGCAACCAGAGTTTTTATGCAGTGCTACAAGACAAGGGCTTAGTAAGGGACAAAGCATGCTTCACTTAAGTATTCCAGCCGCGCCCCTCTCTGGACGAGTTTGGGATTCAGGGTTCAGCACTTTGGGGTTCAGGGCTTCAGGGCCCTAAACCCTAAACCCTTAACCGTGTATGGTTTGGAGTTTCGGGCTCAGGGGATTTTGGGGCCCAACTTTCAGGAGCCTGAAGCCCTGCGCCACCTCTTCTCGTACGCAGGCGCAGAAGACGGAGAAGCGAGATCCCCTTGAGATGACCTTCGACGAACGTCAGGATCCGCCCTGGGATTGTCGGTCTACATAACAACATAAATAGATACCAAAATGTGAAGCAAAGTACAGTTACGTATAGATAAGTAAGTAAGTAAGTCCATATCTATACTCATGCAATGTAAACATATATACACACGCCCGGGTATGTCTTTTTGCATGCCACATGTTATATGCCTTTGCATTAGACGCAGGTGTACATGCATGTGGGCAACGAATGTTTCTACATGCGTTACACATGTCACATCGGGCGACATGCGGATGCTCCTACGCATCCGTCTTGCTCCCTGCCAAGCTCATGCGTGTATGTATGCTTAGTGTGAGTGTAGGGGTGGGTGTCTGCATCTACAGATCGCAAAAAAAACGGATGGATGGACAGGTTGGACACAGATCCAAGTAAATAGAGACAGCGGTGGATAGATCGTGTGGGAATGTATACTATATATATATATATATGCATGCCATGCAGAGGTTGTGCTGCATGGTATGCTCTGCAAGAATGTGCAGCTCCGCAGGAAGTTCAGTATTGCGACTGCTTGCACACGTGATGACTGCGTTACAAAGCGTTCAATGAAATTTGTCTTGCGATCGGGATATCACCTTTTTCGTGACACAGGACATGCCCATGCAAACATGGCTTTGCAGTGTGCCAGTTGTTGCTGCCACGGCTGCTGCCAATGAACATGGTGATGATGGTTATGGCATTAGAGGGATTAAATCATGAGTAGTATTGCTGTTTGTTGTTGCAGTTCAGCTTCATCTCTTAAGGTCAGTATATGTTAGTCACTGTTAGCATCATGTCTATGTAGCGCTTCTGCTGTCAGGGTGTCTTTTGCTACTGGTGTTTCTGCTGCTTCCCACTCCTACAGTTGTTTTTTTTTGCGTGGTCTTCTTGCCGACAAAGTCCATGAAGCCTGAACCCCATGCCACAAACCCTAACCACCAAGTACAAAGCCCAAGGCACCGTTATTTTGGAGTGCCTTGAAGTCTTATCGTCCCGTTCTGTGGGTCGCATGATGAGGGCTTTTCTGATTTAGCCTGCAGAAGACTGTTCCAGTGTTAGACTGTGCTGTTTGGGCTCAGCTTGAGTTAGCACAATACTGGGCTGGGATGCACATGTATAGATATATATATATATATATAATCTAACTGAATCTAACTATAGTTGTGTACATTTGTTATTTCTTTATTTAGTTCATCAGATTGTCCTGGTTTTGGCTTGTTGTACACGAACGACCCGAAACCGTAAGGCTTAGGACTTAGACTTTGGCGACCATGAGGAGAACATGTTCTCGGTGAAGTGGACCCGCGTGCGCAGCTCGGAAGTCCTCCTTGCGCCTGGGTTCAGGGTTCAGGACCCCTAAACCCTAAACCCTAAACCTTAACCCTAAACCCTAAACCCTAAACCCTAAACCCTAAACCCTAAACCTTAACCCTAAACCTTAAACCCTAAACCGTTTAGGGTTCCCTCCTCCTCGTGCCCAAAGCTGGAAGCCCTTTGGGTTTAGGGTCCCTGTCGCGACACTAGTATTTAATGCAGGGTCCTTTAGAATTGCCTCTGCTCTTTTGGCGGGGGTCTCCTTAGTATAACTATACTGTACTTGGCCCCAAAAGCCTATTAAAACCAGCTATTTTGGCGGGGGGCTCCTTATTATAACTATACTATACTTGGCCCCAAAAGCCTATTCTGACTATTAAGGCCCTAAACCCTAAACCCTAAACCCTAAACCCTAAACCCTATTCTAACTATTAAGGCCCTGCAAGCAGTGCCGGAGGCCCAACCCTTTTCCTCCAGAAGTTTCAAGCCAAACCAGAAAGGGTCAAGCCCGAAAGCCTGAGGGTCCCAAACCCTTCAACAGCCATAAATTAGGCTTTAGGTTTTAGGGTTTAG